TGGTTACCAGTCGGATGCACAGGGTCAGTGTCGGCCCATATGTAAGGCCTGTGGTGCACATGAGGAGTGCGTGCAGCCGGAGCAGTGCGTGTGCAAGGCGGGCTACAAACGGAATACGGAGGGGCTGTGCCGTCCACATTGCTCCAAGGCATGTGCGCTAAATAAATACTGCGCCCGACCGGAAGCATGCGAATGCCTAGCTGGCTACAAGGAAGATATGTTGGGCGTTTGCCAGCCCATCTGCGGCAAAGAGTGCGCACCGAACGAGGCGTGCAAAGCGCCGGAGCTTTGCAATTGCCTCGACGGCTACAAGCGAAATCAAACGGGCAAGTGTGAGCCACAGTGCTCCAAGGAGTGCCGCCTAAATAGCCACTGTGTCCGGCCAGAGCTGTGCCTGTGCAACGAGGGCTATGCGGACGACAATTGGGGCAGATGCCAGCCCCAGTGCAGCATGGAGTGCGGTGCTTATGCGCGCTGCACGCAACCGGAACATTGTGAATGCGACGTTGGCTATCAGAGGGATAAGCAGGGCGCATGTCAACCCAGCTGCCAGCAGGATTGTGGTGAGCATGGCTATTGCAGCGAGCCAAATAAATGTAGCTGCTTGGCAGGCTATCAGATGTCCGAGCAGGGCAAGTGTAGGCCACTCTGTGTGGCATGTGGCAAGCACACGCACTGCCCCCAACCGGGCAAATGCGAATGCCAGGCAGGCTATGAGCGAGTGGCTAATGCCGAGAGCGAAGACTGCCAGCCCAGCTGCCCGGAATATTGCGGTGTCCACGGCTATTGCAGTCAACCGGGCGTATGTGCGTGCCACGCGGGCTATGAGCTGGATGCGGAGGGCAGCTGCGCGCCCATCTGCGCGCCGCAATGTGAGCAGCACAGCTATTGTGTCAGTCCGGGCAACTGTGCCTGTCGTCCCGGCTACTTGGGCGAGGGCAATCACTGTGTGCCCCAGTGCAGCATGGAGTGTGGCGACAATAGCTACTGTGCTCAGCCGGAAAAATGCGAATGCATTCCCGGCTATAAGCCGGATGATGCGGCTAATCGCAACTGTTCCAGCTTGACTTCGCTCTGGTTCATCGTCTTTATATGCATTTGCGGCTTTTTGGCTATCGCTGGACTTGCCTCATGTGTGGCCTTTGTGCTTGTCAGGCGCTATACGAAACCCCCCTATTGCTCCCATACGGATACGATTGGTTCGGATCTGCGTACTATTGATCTGCGCCCATACGATACGAGTGTGGAGGGTATTCAGAATACCGCATTTACTACGGAAGATATTTAAAAACCCTTTTCTATGTTTAACAGAAAAAAAAAGAAAAGAAATTTATGTTTTTCTCTATTAAAATTAGCATGAATCAATTTGACGCGCTTAGTAACAACTTTTCATGCGGTTTTTTTGTGACGCATCGAAAAAACCTCAAATAGTAGAAAAAATAAATCATAAGGCGAGTGTGCTGCGTGTTCAGCGCTAAACAATTTATTTTAAATTTAGTTCACATTTTAAATAATCTAACATATTTAATTTCCAACCGAAAGTATTGAGGTATTCGGTATAATGACAGGATAATATAGATGTTATATATTACTTAAAATACTGATCTCTACGTATTATTTAAAATATACCCGATCCTAAACTTTATGAAACATTATTTGCTCTGAGTCATTGAAATAATGACGCCCTGGGTGACTGCCTTATAGAATGACTGATTTATCAACCATCTGATTCACTATCTTATTGGCTGGAAGATGGATTAACTAATTGATCGAATGTCCGATTTGAAAACTTATTAACAGACCGACTGATTGATCTGACTGACTGACTGATTGATTGACCTACCGATTGACTGACTGATATAATGACTGATTTTTCGATCTTCTGACTCACTTACTCTTATTGGCTGAGAGGAGGACTTACTAACTGATTGACTAAATACTTGGCCAACGACTGATTGACTGTCTGAATAACCTATTGATTGAATGACTGACTAGTTCACTCACTGACTAACTTAACCGAATGCTTGAATGAATGACTAACTAACTGAGTGAGCAGCTGCTCGATTGACTATCCAATTGGCTGAGGGATGGGTAAATAAATTGATTGACTGACTAACTAACTGATTGAATCAATGATTGAATGACTTATCAATTGATTGCCTTAATGCCTGCATTTTAAATATAACTGATTTCAAGTGCTTTTTTTTCAGCTTACAAGAAATGCATAAATTCTACACGATAGTAGTATTAATAAATATATTTTTTGTATACTAGTTTTTATACCCTGAACACATTAAAAATGGGTATAAGCGTATATTGTATTTGGGCAAAATCCAATGTATGTAACAGGCAGAAGGAAGCATCTCCGACCCCATAAAGTATATATATTCTTGATCAGCAGCAATAGCCTAGTCGATCTAGCCATGTCCGTCTGTCTGTCCCTCCGTTCGTCCGTATGTATAAACGCAAGGATCTCAGAACCTATAAGAGCTAGAGATGTAGATGCTCCTAGTTCCCGCCCAGTCGAGTTTGTTTCCGATAATCGATAACTTGCTCCGTTTCCAAGCAATCGATAAAAATCGATATAGATATCCTGTTTTTTGGGCAATTTTGGTAAAAAATAAGAGCTAGAGTCACCAAACTTGACATAAAGCATCTAAAATAGAATATATATATGCATTTGATGTAGGATGAAAAAGAGGGTTCAGGGTTCGGGAGCTCCCGACTAGAACCTCTTACTTGTTATATATAAAATATAGAATTTATTTTACATCTTTATATCTTATCTACATGTCTTATAGTGACCAAGCCGTGGGTTTATGTAACTCTCAAACTCTTAAATATGCAATGCAACGCAAAACCCATTAAGTTTTTGTTATTTCCATTGATATACAAATATATAATGTATCTTAAGATATATATGTACATATATACTAGCGGGGACAGCCCGGCCTTGCCAGTGGCACGTTTAAAATAAATGTTCTCAAAAATTTTTGAAAATGAATTTCGATCGGACGGTAAATAAACAGCTTTCATACAAACGGTTTCTTCCAATTTACCACTGTTGCGGGTGGAATTTCCCAAATCGTTGGAACACGCATGCATTATGTACGTCAACAAAAAAATCTTTGAATTGATTTTTTAATTCTGCGTTAAATGTAAAACAGGTCTCAAATGATTTTTCTTTTGGATCCTTGGAAATAAATTTAAGCGCAGCAAATCTTTGACACCCATTTCCACCAAGAAGGGATAGAGTTTCCAAACAGTGCGAAACACCCCCAAAGAACATTGAAATTGAGCTTGAGGCCGATCGGATGGTAAACAAAATGTTTCATATAAACTTTTTTCGCGATTTTTCCATACTTGCGGAGTTTGTGGAATTTCCCAAAGCCCCGTCTTAGCGTGCCTTTCATCACATAAGGTAACTACAGTGAAAATTTCAGCTTCTTAGGTTTTACGGTTTGGGCTGTGCGTAGATCACCAATTAGTCAGTTAGTCAGCACAAACAGTTTTATATATATATAGATATATACATAAAGATTTAATATAATATAAACTTTCCACATAATGATTTATTTTTTTCTTGTGTGTTTTGAATTTGATAAAGTTCTAATGTGTTCCAAGGTCTTCAGTACTACAGTTGATAACATATACGGAATTTGATATATGAAGCATGTTCTTCAGTATATGTAACTCTCCCTCTCTCTCTCTCTCTCTCTCTCTCTCTCTCCCTCTCTCTCTCTCTCTCTCTCACTTCACTCTTTGTCTCCTACTGGTATTACAATCAGTCGGCGGAGACTTGTGTTCATTTTAATAGTATTATTAGCTATTACAAGAAATGTTCCTTAAATGTTGTTTATAAATATTTAATGCCATTTTCTCTTATCGAATGATTCAGCAAAGCTTTCGCAATGTATTTGAGTTGCAATATTTGATTTTATCAAGCAATAAGAAATTTTAACGGATGTCAGTATTACCATAGACCATTAGTCAAGTTCCAAAACAGATCCCAGTCTCATTGAGTTTAAAACGCGCTTCTGATCTGAATACAAGTTTAATTTTGGTGTATCAAATTTGATAATAGTTAAATAATGTATAGTTTTTACTATTTTTTGATCGGATTTCTGTTGATTTTATATCATGTTACAAGTACAAAGGCATATGGATCATGTGTGTGTATGAGGAGAAAAAAAGTATCGAGCATTCATTACCCGACATGGTATGATTTTATAAGAAGGAATCACCGAAAGGAATACCTATTGCAACCAGAGGTATGTTTCCAAGATGATGTTTATTTACCAAATATTAATACCGATGAAACAAGCTCTAGGTAAATTAAGCGCATTATTAGGATATTACTTATTTTAACCATCAGCCGAACTGGTAATCAGTTGCCCAAAAGTAAGATCAAACTTATGTTGAGTTAATTGCTTTAATCAGAGGAAAAATAAGAGGAACTATATCATTAATTTAATTATTATAATGCTGCAATTATTATTTTTATTAAAATTATTAAAATAATACAAAATACAAAATTCCGAAAAATATATAAATTATATAAATTAAATGTGAATCAAGAAAATAATAATTGACTGATACTCCTAAAGGCGAGCTAGAGATTAGGCCCTGCTAGCAAGACAAATATATAGAAACAGGGAAATGCTGACTATTAGATACCCTAACGCCAGTTATTGGGTACATAAACTTACACGGAAACGCAGTGAAAAACTTTTTAAATATATAACAATGTAGGCTTTTCTTCGTTTTCTGTCCATGTTTGGAAAATACAAAAAACAGACGAATGGGTGAATATAACTAATATACACTTCACACACACTATTTTGGGTAGCGCCTATCAAAATAAACGGATGTATTTGCAAAACTGTAGATTTTGTGACCGTCCGACTCTCAGACTTCGAGCAGTTGTGCTTGAATTGTGCTCGTGATACGTACTTTAATATTTTAAACAATGCAGTTTTTAAATTTTAGGACATGTTTGTTGTTTGTCCTTGTTGGTTTTTGTTCAACAAAGCTGTGCACTCATTTGAAAAAGTTATCTTACACTGAAATGGTGCCAAAAACCGTGACAATTACGTACAAGTTGTGGGTTTTGGGAAAAATTAAAAAACGAACTGAATTGCGCTATTTTCCCGAGGTTAGACCAAAAAATGTTAATTCATACTGTTTATTATATATACTTTTTTGTTGTTCAAAAACTACATGACTCTGGAATATTTCAGTCTGATTGATATTCAAAACTCTTTTGTTATAACATAGAGGCCAAGTCTTGTAAAATTCTGGTGATCATTAATTGAATTATTATTATTTAATATGAAACAAATTTGATTTACAAATAAATCCAAAGAAAAGAATATTCTAATTTTCTATGAAAATTTGTGTAAATAAGTGTGAATAATTTATGAAATAAATATCTATTACTCTTTAAATCAATATGAATAAAGTTCTTAAATAGTATATGGAATTACAAAGAAATACTGAAACATGATAATTTTTATCAGAATAAGGAGTTTCGACCACATTATTAAAACTTTCATACTTGAGTCGAGAACAAAATTTTTGTTGTTTTATCTGACTATAAAATTAATAATTATTTTATTGTTGTTTTTATTATTATTAACATTATTATTATTATTATTATTATTATTATTATTATTATTATTATTATTATTATTATAATTATTAATTTTATTATTATTATTATTATTATTAATATTATTATTGTTATTATTATTATTATTATTATTATTATTATTATTATTATTATTATTATTATTATTATTGTTATTATTATTATTATTATTATTATTGTTATTATTATTATTATTATTATTATTATTATTATTATTATTATAATTATTAGTAATATAACTAAAATATTTTATATTATTATGCCGCAGACTAAATACAGATATGAGACGGAATATTATTGCTGTCATGGCTATGAAGGCTCAGATTTCAATTGCAAGCCCATTTGTAGTGCAGGTTGTCCTAGCAATGGCTACTGCAGCGCTCCGGGACAATGTAGCTGTAATATTGGATATTCTGGTGCAGATTGCAGTCCCATTTGCCACAGCTGTGGCAAACACAGCTATTGTCAGTCGCCGGGCGTGTGCGAATGCAACGCGGGCTTCAGCCGGACCGACCAATCACACGATTGTCTGCCGCAGTGCATTCAGTCATGTGGAGACCACAGCTTCTGTGCGGCACCAGATACCTGTGAGTGTGAGCTGGGCTATGAGAGATCCGTACCCGAAGCAGCCTGTCTGCCTGCTTGCGTGCCCAGCTGCGGCACAAACAGTTACTGCATGGAGCCCAATGTCTGTGAGTGCCACGAGGGCTACATGCAAGAGAATGGAGCATGCCGGCCCATCTGCGATGCGGGCTGTGGGCTAAACAGCAGCTGTTTCAAGCCAGGAGAATGCCAATGCGATGAGGGCTACACGAGCTCCGAGGAAGGTAGCTGCCAGCCCATCTGCAGTCAAGGATGTCCGGAGCACAGCAGCTGCGGCAGACCAGGAGAATGTCTGTGCGATGAGGGCTACACGAGTTCCGTAAAAGGTAGCTGTCAGCCCGTCTGCAGTCAAGGATGTCCGGAGCACAGCAGCTGCCTGGCACCGGAGCTGTGTGCATGCAGCCCTGGCTATGTCCAAAACAAGGAAAATCTGTGTGAACCCCAATGTCCAAAGGGTTGCTTTGACTATGAAAGATGTGTGGCACCCGATGTGTGTGAATGCTATCCCGGCTATGAGCTGTCGCAGGCTGAGCAAAAATGTAAACCCACCTGCAGTCAGGGCTGTCCAAATGGCGCTTGCTTTGCGCCCGAGGTCTGCGCCTGCAACCCTGGCTACCTAATGGGCCCCAACAACAACTGCGAGCCGCAATGCAGTCAGAGCTGTGTACATGGCAGCTGCATCGCACCCGATATCTGTGAATGCGATCCTGGACATCGGTTCGCTCCAGATTCGCGGCATATCTGCGAGCCGATCTGTGAGCCAGCCTGCCAGCTGGGCACGTGCATGGCGCGCCAGCTATGCATCTGCCATTTAGGACATGAGCCGATGGGTCCAATGGGCTCAGGCTTGGAGCACGTGTGCAAGCCCAGCTGCTCGACGAGCTGTGTAAATGGCACTTGTCGGGCGCCTGATGAGTGCAGCTGCAATGCGGGCTATGTGCCCGCAGACGGAGCGAACACCAACATCTGTAAGCCCAACTGCAGTCACGGCTGCTCCAATGGTGACTGCGTGGCGCCTGAGCTGTGCCAGTGTTATCCCGGCTACGAGAGCACTGCAGCTGGCTGCCAGCTGCAGCTAGAAACGACCACCGATTGGATGACAACGACAGTGGCCACCACTGACCATCAACCAGAGCAGCTGTTGCAGCAGCCCTGGACAAATTGCAGCATCGGCTGCCGTTGCTGGCACGTGTTGACTGATGCGGCGCAGACTGCGCTCAAGTGCATCAACATCTGCAGGGATGCCTACGACCAGCCATGCCTGGAACTTGGCCAGTGCCGGTGCGTGGAGCCAACGGGTCAGCTGCTTTGCCCGGCTGCGAATGGGCAGCAGGAGCAGCGCATGGTCTGTCACGTGGACGCACCCAGGGCCAGGGACCTGAGCGCTGGCGAGGCAGCACTCAACGTTGACCAGATTAAAAGCAGTGCAGTTAAATGGCCAGCAATCCTGGCCTGGTGTCTGGGCAGCTGCATCCTCTTGCTGGTCGTGATTGTGGCCAGCCACATCTACTTGAGTCACAGACGCCAGAAGGCGCTTGCTCAGCAAGTCGATGGACTCAGCATTGTCAACTATGTCCATGATACTTAAGACAATTTTAATATTTTTATCATTATTATAAATATTGTTATCATTAAACTGTTGTGGAGGATCTGTGTCGAGCATTATAGGCATTTATCCTGCCTGGTTTTTCGCCTCAGTTGGATTAATAAGTATAAATGTCTTAAGTATTTGTTAAATCACATCACATCACATCACATCTAAATTTAATGAAATTATGTTTTATTTATAATAACAATTATAATAAAGCAATCGATCGTAAGCTTCTGCAAGCTAACTCTCAGACGGGCACACAAATCGTGGACTGTTCGTGGTACGTAAAGCCGGGATCACAGATGCAACGATTGCGACTCACACAAATCCCATTGTAACATTTTCTGTGGAATATAAAAGTCAAGTAAGATTTTTGTGTTATAAATACATTATACATTTAACTCAATCTTGATATTTTCTGTCTAATATATATTTTATATAAACTAAGTTTAAGCCAAGATCAAAACTCTCATTAATTTCTATCTAAGCGTTGGATATTTAATCTTCGACCATCCAAAGATTGTCGTATATTTTTATTTTTTTTTTTAAATTCGTTTTAAGCCGATGCTTACCGAAGTCTAAGCTTGCTGCATGTGGAAAATCTGTTAAGAGTAGCTAACCAAATTCAAGGCAGCAGTTTTTGTTTTTTTTTTTTTTTTGCCAGGCAACCAGCTGAGATGATTTTGTCCGTTTACCATCTGTGGAAACGATTCGATTGCGGAAACTATAAAAGCCAGAGACTTGATATTTAAAATTTATATTCCCATGTAACGTACGGAGAGTGAGCTTTTAGCTTTTTAAAATTTTCCTGATAACGAAAATATCGATTTTGACATAGTTTTTTAGGCATAACTCTAAAACTATAAGAGTTAGATACACCAAACTTAAGAATAAACATATCCAAAATATTTTACGAATTGGTTATCGCCTCATACTTCTACCGGAGAAAACCCATGTTGAAAGGTGGAGCCTTACGATTTGGTATGTAAGCAATTTTGCGTGCAATTTTGTAAAAATCTTAAAGACCGTACTATGAAAAATGAAGTTCATCAAGAATTAATTTCTCATATTAAGTCAGGGACTACAAAAGGAAGAAGCAGACCCGCTGCGTCAAGGTATATGTGTAGAATGTGTATATGTGTAGAATGAAGCTTGGGTTCAGGGTATTTGTTATTGACAGTATCCAAATACTTACTGATAGCAATCGCTCTGGCAGACGCCATCCTTGAGCGTGTAGCCAGGACCGCAGTCGCACTGATTGTTGTCCCTGCAGATCCCACCGATGCCGCAGTCCGGGTCACAAACAGGCTGGCAGCCCTCATTAGTCAACTGATAGCCCTTGGCGCAGCTGCAGACCTCCGGCTCGGTGCAATTGTGACGCGGGTTATTGCCACAGCCGCTGCTGCAGATGGGCCGGCAGAAGCGACGGCTCTCGTCCAGCATGTAGCCCATGTCGCATTGGCAGCTGCCATCCAGATAGCAGCGTCCATTCTGGCAGCCAATGGGACACGCGAAGACGCAGTCCCCATTGTCATTGCGCACAAAGCCCTCATAGCAATCGCACTCGCCGGGCACACGGCATCCACCGTTCTGGCAGCTGCAAATGGGCCGGCAGACGGTGACGCCCTTCAGGCGAGTGGGCGTGTAGCCGGTGCAGCAGACCTCGATCGAGGACAGCTTGTTGGCCATGTCTGTCTGGATGAGACTGGCCAGCGGATATTTGGACACAGTTTCAGGACTAGACGCAAGACAAACAGTTTTGTTAAAAATACGTTCAACTAACGGACAACGTCTCTTGGGCGGACAGTCATTTGAAATTGTGGCGGTCCGCTCTAGAGAGCTTTCACTGTTCATCTAAATAGGTAAAAATAGTCTGCGGCTACTTACGGTACCCAAATGCGACATTTGTGCTGGTCACGACTCGAAACGCCCTCATGGGCACGCAGCAAATACTCACGCCTGCGCGGCTGCTGGGCTACCGTTTGGTCCACCATGTCAAAGTTTAGGGCGCCCGGACGCTGGTAAAGTGTCTGTGGGGCAGCCTGTTGCCTGTGGCCAACTCCTGCATAGCGTCGCCCCTCCTGCTGCGCACGTCTGTTGTCATAGCGAGTGGGCGCATCGTATTCCGAGTAGCTGGGCACATGCGCCCCAATCCTGGCCAGGCACATCAGCAGCAGCAACTGGATCAGACCCTGGGCATGCCTGAGAGTACGCATTTTGTTGGCCCACGTCCTCCACTTTTATTTTCGATTCAGTTTTCGTTGTTTGCAAACCACTTGCTAAATTCCAACTGAGATCTCAAGTTTCGCTTGCGTTCCACTGCCCCAGTAATTTACTGTGGACCGCTTATCAGTTGTTTTGCTGTTTAGACCCAGCATTTCGGGCATGTTCTCATTGGCATTTCAAATCTCCCAACTAACTAAGCTGGCTCCTCGAGAATTGTGGGTCTATTAGGCTGTTTACCGCCGAGTTTTATTTGTTTATCTATTTAAACTTTCCAAAAGAACATAATCATTTCTTATAATCTTAAATCTTAATTTAAAAATCCATTAATAATTGTAGGGCACAACATAATACATTTTATTTATTTCTTCTTTTTTAAACTATTTCAAAGTATATTTATACGCACAATATTTATTAATAATGGTCCAAAAACAGCATACAACATCTTATTTAATTAAGTTTTTTTTTTACAAATTTATACCCTTTCAACAAAATATTATTACTGCTACGTATACGTAACGCAACAGCTTGCGATATTTATATGTTTATATGCCTCTCTCACTCTCCCTCTCTCTCTAACTCTGTCTTGCTTTACAGATCTGTCAAGTACTCATAATAAATCTAGTGGTTCGCCGTCTCTTGCTAATATTTTTAATTGAAAGCCCGTCCGCTTATCGCTGCTTCCCTCGCAGCTGCGATTAAGCGCTGACCCGTTTCTCCAACTGCTGCCGCGGTTGCTCCGGCTGCGGCTGCGGCTGTGACTGCGGCTGCGGCTGCTGCCACACAGTAAACAACTGAGACTTGAACGCTGCAGTGCCACAGGCGACGTACTGGATTGGCATCGAGTCAAACAGGAAACAAATCAGTTGCTCCCAACTGCTTGAATATGGCCAGGCTGCTGCGCGCTGTGGCCCTGCAGGCCGGTCTACTGCTGATCTACCTGTGCCTGATGCACGCCCTGGAGTTGCAGTTGCACGAACAGCAGCTGCAGCAACAGCTGCTCGACGAGCAGCTGCGTCTGCATCAGCAACAGCAGCTGCTGCAGCAGCAGCGCGAGCAGCAGCTCCAGCAGCGACGCTATTCCTCGACGACATCCACACGTAAACCCTATATCATACCCCAAGGCCTATCACTGCCCCAGAGAGGCGTCTATCCGGATAAATGCTACCGGGAAGTGCCGTAAGTACAGCTAGAGATTAGAGTTAAATGTTTATGGAATATTTAGGTGTCCCAAACAAAGCTTTTATTAATTAATACTATCTGAAAATTTTTAGTGAAAACAATTTTGGGCGATATTTCAATTGAATCATAAATAATTTTAAATAGAAAAAATATATATAATGTAAATACTTCAAAGTCTTGCACAAAAGAAGTTACTTTTGTTTTGAACATTTAGAACAAATCTGTAAATCTAATTATATTTAAAAAAAAATTATTTTAATTAAATTTAAATCAACATTTTTTACCTTCACGGAAGCTCTATTAAAAAACTTTGTGTTCAGTACGTCGAGTGTGGCTATGCAGACAGAAAGTACACTGATCCCTCGCATATTAGAATGCTTTCTTTCGGGAGTATACTTAATTAATTAGCCAAACTAATATATTTTAATGCCCTATTTTTACCTTGAAAATGGAGGTCTTACCAACTATATATATGGTATATCTCCCATACCATATAGTATAACTTCCTGGGTACAACCATGTCTGTCAGAAGGACACATTAAAAGCAAAACACTTCATATTTGCGGTACATGTAAATGTATATGAAAAACTTATCATTTTAATGTCGAAATAATTGTTTATCTCTCCACGTTGCCACGAAATTTATATATATAATTTATTGAGCATATCTTGGAGAAATAAACACTGAATTTTAATGTTTTGGATACCTGCGCTCTTTTCCCCAAATACAATTTTGATAACCGAGTTGAATTATTTTGCATTATTTACATTTTGTTCAGTTTTTATCAAATTCTTGTGTTCTTCCTGCAGAGCGGTTTTCTTTCAGTACGACAAGGAGCTCAAAATCGTGGGCAATAGCAGCACAAATCCGTACTTCAATGTGATCGAGGTCTGCTGCAAGGGCTGGCGCAGATACGAGTACGACTGGTCGAGATGTGTGCCGGACTGCGGGGAGCGTTGCCAGGAGAATGGCTTCTGTCTGCCGGGTGGACGGTGTCAGTGCTTTACGGATTTTGTGCTCAACTACCGCAACGATTGTGTGCCCACCTGCCCGTTGGGCTGCCCCCATGGCCAGTGCTATTTGAATGGCACCTGCCGCTGCGAACGGGGCTACGAGCTGGATGGCTCGAAACGCTTCTGCCAGCCGCAGTGCAATACCACTTGTGGCCACAACGAGGTCTGCCTAGAGCCGGGCAAGTGCGTCTGCGCTGAGGGCTATGCCCGGGGACTACGCGAATCGAATGCCCTCGGCTGTCAGCCCATGTGCATACCCGATTGCGGCTACGGACACTGCGTGGCGCCCAATCAATGCGAATGCTTTCCGGGCTACCAGAAACGCATGAATCGCAGCTCCTGCGAAATCAATTGCTACATGTGAGTACTTATTTCAATCATGGGTATGAATATAGGTTGAACCAATAATTCAGGATTACAACAAATGAAAAGTTTTTTATAAACAATTTTGATTTTCATACTCGCGTTCATTTTTGATTTCCGAAAGTTTTTATTATATATAAATTTTTTATACCTTGAAAAATGGGTACAAGGGTATATTGTATTTGTGCAAAATCCAAATGTATGTAACAGGCAGAAGGAAGCATCTCCGACCCCATAAAGTATATATATTCTTGATCAGCATCAATAGCCGAGCCGATCTGTCTGTCTGTCTGTCCGTCCGTCTGTATGAACGCAAGGATCTCAGAACCTATAAGATCTAAAGAAATTTTAGATGTAGGTGCTCCTAGTGCCTGCGCAGATCGAATTTGTTTCCGATAATCGATAACTTACTCCGTTTCCAAGCAATCGATACAAATCGGTAAATAATAAATCACCAATCACCAAACTTGACATATTGCTTCTAAAATAGAATATATATATGCATTTGATGTTGGAAGAAGAGGGTTCAGGGTAATCCCTAGTCGGGAGCTCCCGACTAGAACCTCTTACTTGTTTTAATTAGTATATCAAAAAGTATATATACATATATAATCTCTCCGATCATACAAGCAATGTCCGTCCGTTCGACCGATTTCAGAAACTTTAAAATCGAAACTCCAACCTGTGCTACAAATAGATAAAGTTTGCTTATATCGATCGATGATTACCATTTGGATATGCTTGATAAAAATCGAGCTTACAAGAAATAAAGACACCTAATTTTGGATATATCTTTCTGTGAGAGTGTATGAAGCTTTGAAGTAATTCCCTTTTTGAATACTTCCTCCGTATTCTCCATAATTAATAAACTCATTCGTAAAGCCTTGCGCTTTGGTAGTTGCGTATTTTCGAATTTTATAACTAAGCACTGATGAAATTTCATAAAAATCGGTCTATAAGCTTCATAGTTACTTGAGAATGGTTTTTATTTGTATATATCCCTCTCCCTCTCTCTCTCTTTCACATAGGCGCTGTGAGAATGGCTTCTGTGCCAATCAAACCACCTGCGTGTGCCAGAACGGTTACCGCTACGATCAGAACACGACCAGCTGTCTGCCAGACTGTGGCGATGACTGCCTGAACGGGGTCTGCGTCTCGCCGGGCAATTGCCGCTGCTTCAATGGGTATGTGCGGAATCGGGAGCGCTGCGATGCGGTCTGCGAGCGCGGCTGCGGCTTCTATGGGCGCTGCATTGCGCCCAATGTGTGCGGCTGTGCGGTGGTGGCCGGACCCGAGGAGAGCTATCAGCGGTGCGAGAATGGCTACTGCAATGCGGAGGGGCATTGCCGCTGCCTGGAGGGCAAGACGCGCTTCATAGACAAGTGCATGTCCCCGGATACGGTGACCACGTACGCCTCCATCAATCCGTTGCGGGTGAATGCCTCGCTAATGCACGAGTTCGAGCTCTTGCTGGGCAGGCATTTCATACTGGGCGCCGCTGGCATGATCGATTCAAACAGATGGTGGGTCTAGGCTGGCGATAATAATATTCTACATCCCATATATATTCTCTAAATAAATTATATTTACAATTTCGATGTCAAGCACAAAGAAATTGTTGCCTTCAAATTGAAATGAGCTGTGCTTATCAGTGCGCCATGGGCGTAGCTATAGGGGGCCCTGTATTTGGACTCTGCATGATATTCACTTTCTGACGTTTCCACTCTAACTACTCAGCTTGCCACTTGCTGTTCCTTGTTATTTTTACTTTATTACAAAAACCCCCTTTTCGCTACGCTACTGCTCAGTTCTAATCTATGCGCAGTATATACAAAGATCAGTTCTTTAAAAGCAGAGCTTAACACGAGCGCAGCTCAGTAGCTCGATAGCCCCGCGATCGCAAGTGTATTACCTCCAGAGAGAGGGAGAGAGAGAGAGAGAGAGAGGGAGAAGAGCGAAACATGCTCTCGCACATCAAAATTAGTGGCCTGCTGATTATTTGCCTTACATTGTCACTGCCTAGGCATACATTTGGCCAATTCTGGAAACTGAGTCAATATGAGAACTGGAAGCGCGAGATGCTGGCGAGTCGTGAGTCGGGCATCTGCTACAAGATCCAATTGTAGATATAGCCAGTCGAACCAAGCCTGCCAACGATCTCAAGATCATATATACATATATATTTTCAGTGTTAATACTCTGAATCCGGAGCTAAGGCAACGTCAGATCTCATATTGTTGCGATGGCTATGTGAATCGCGGCAGCTCCGAAATTCTTAAATGTGAGCCCATCTGTGCGGAGGATTGCACTCATGGTATATGCCTCTCGCCGGGATACTGTGAATGTGCCCCAGGCTATAATAGAGAACGGGCACAGTGTCGCAAACATGGCGATTAACGCTGGAAAGGAAAACTAAATAATAGTCTACCATTAAACTAAGCAACCAAATTTGTTCATGTGTTAAAAATATCTTATAAACTGTTTTTATTTTTAAGTTCCAACTTTGTTTTGGTTGCGTATCTTTTAATTTTAATACTCTTCAACTAACGTTTTCCTGACATTAAGCAGTATAAAGCGTTACAGTATATCGTAGTAGGACAATATTCCAGCGATCTTAGATTATCGAGTATGCACAGCATATACCTACATCCATACATCTCATATAGTTTTTTTTTTTTAATATTAACATCTACATTGCGGATAACCACACGGCCAGAGAGCATCTATCCAGACAATTGATATTGTGAGTGGTGTCAGCGTTGGAAATACTCGTTCATTCTATTCCTGTTTATGCGCCGTTGCTTCTGATTCCATTTCAGCCATCTCATACAAAAGAGAGAATTTTAAGAGATTTCTAGTATCTAATGTCTACTAAACTCATGTCATTAGCGCGTATGCCTTCGATCCCTTTTTATCCAGCTGAGCGCATTGTGGATGGTGAGAGCGTAGGGGTAATTTTATCTTAGCTCAGGCGCGGTTTAGTCTGTGCGCGTCTGCTCTGCTAATCGGTTGTATTGTGTGTAAAGACACACCCCGTTCTTAGCTGTGGAGTTTGCGCAACTAAATATTATATTGCATAAATCTATAAAAAAATACGTACCTTATGCAATCTCTATTTGACTAACTACTTTTTGTTAATTATTTACCGTATGCAATAAAATTTTTTTTCATAGTCGTCTGGATGTGTTTCGCATTTCTATATCCGATTGAAATGTAAATTCTTTACCTTTCGTCTTTTGTTTGTTTATATAATGAAGTGAAGTGAACATAGGGAATAGATGTAAATAATTATTTTGTCTTTTGCGTGAGCGTGGGAGAAAATATTTCGACAAGCTGAGCTTATTTTGCCGTTTGCCCTGCGGCTTGCAGCTGCTAAAATGAATGGACGGGTACTCAACCAAGGGCCATTAAGCAAAGAGCGGCCATGTAAATGACGTGCGCCTGCAAGTTATAATTGTTGTAATTGTGTTGGTGTAAACGCCGGCATTGTGCAAGCACGGATTTAGTCTGTGTCCGTCTACCTTGTTAAACGGTCGCAATGCCTGCAAGTGCAATTCAATCGTGCTGTGTGTTTGTTAATATACATGCAAATAAATATTTACAAATTAAAACATCATCTTGTTCTCCGTTTTTTGGTGGTGTGCCAACTTTTGTCGCCTTGGAGGCAGGGTACGTGCTCCAAAAGCTTCATTTAACAATGAATGTTGTATATAGTTAAACTACATATTTTGTTGAAAATTATTGCAAAGATCATATAATTTTATATAAACTTGAATTTGTACAAACAACTTTGTTTTAAATGGTATTTATTGTTGATAGAATGATTTTATTTGCACAATGTCCGTGTGTCTTACGCACGCTAATCCACCTTAGTCTCTGTTTTGTTCATATAGTTGACATTGTGGATGATGTGAGCGTGGGAAATAATTAATTTGATGCTTTTATTGCAGTTTATTTTGTATATTGCAGCTGCTACAACTATTCTGAATGTCATAAGCATCAGTTGATGAAATTGACAGTCCGACTAAGAGTACTTAAGCAAAGAGCGGCCATTCTGCATAACGTGTGTCTGCTAGTTACAAATGTTGTCATTGTATTAGTGCAACGATATAGTCTGTGTGCGTCTGCTCTGTTCAATGGTCGGATACAGCGCGTGCGTATGTGTGTGCTGGTGTTTGTATGTATGCTTGTATGTATGTATCGGTGTTTTATCCATTTGCCGTCTGAGTGTGCAAGAGATTGAGATTGCGTGAGTATCTTAGATCTCTTATTGGCTAGCTAAATATTGTCTTCCTTTTAATAATTATCATTGCAAACATGAATTATTTCAATTAGTCATGTTTAAGTGTTTAATTAACAACTTTCAAAATCGGATAGATCTATATTAATATATGTGTACAACTCACATGCAAACATTGATCATACATCTGGTCTTACACTGTGTTGTGATTTTTCATTTTTATTTATCGCGAGATAATTGCATATAATTCAAAGCTTAAAATGCAATAAAAATTTCTCTGGAAGGTTTCTAATAATTTAGAGCCCATTAAAATCAATTTTTTCTTAGGCCACAGTTGGTTTTTTGATTGTAAACAGAGTATTGCGCAGTCGTTTGCGACCGATTCAATTGTTCTCACTTGTTATTCTAGATGATTGCCTCATTTGATGATCACTCATCGATTTCTCGGAAGTACTCAAAATATTCACTGAATATTGTTTTTGTTTGCCAGCGGGCAAAATGAAACATTGTATTCGCTCAGCTTGGCTTAGGCCCTCCAATAACAACAAGACAAATAAAATCAGCAATAAACACCAGATGTGAGAGTAGCCTCCAGTATTATTGATAGGCAAATCGCGAGGTGCTGATTAAGCCGGAGGTCGGGGACAAGAGACTGGCGCTTGGAGGCTAGAGGCTCGAGATTCGCGATTCCGCTGCGAGGCATTTGGAATTGAATTTAGAAAATTTGCTTAGCGCTTAGTTAAAGTGCAGCAGCTGTGAAGAGCGGACGTGTGCAGTTCATCCTCCGCCTACTTGAACAGTTTTACATAGAGTTCCAAGCAAACCAAGTGACGTCAGAGATCATGAGCTCATCATGGCACCTGCTCAGGTGGGCAGCGCTGATGCTGGCCCTCTGCGGTGTGGGCGAGGCGCAGTTCAAGACGGCGGGCATCAAGACGCGTCAACCTGTACAGGTGGCCGGCAATCTACAGCTGTCGAGCAATGCCAGCAGCGAGCAGATCCAGACGCAATATGGCAGCTATGGCAGCTACGCCAATTTTGTACCCGCCGAGACTTATCAGGGCCCAGCCGGACACTACGTCCAGTCGCTTGACCAGGTGACGCGAGCTCCACAGGTGCTCGATGAGACGGCGCTGTTCATAAATAAAACCCGTTCGGCTATGGCCAGCGGCATCTGCTACAAGGAAGTGCCGTAAGTATGAAAAGTGGCCTGTCGGTAGGCGGGGCATATTCAAATATATATGTACATACGTAAATTCCCATTGCATGAGCTTGAATCATTATCGCGCAGTTCTAAGTAATTGAAAATAGGGCAGCTACACGCATTGAACTAACAACCCCGACATCCTCGACTTGCCTGATAATGAAATGCGTCTTGAGGTTTAATTTCATTTGTATATATATTATCAATTTGTGTATTTATTTAGTTTATACGTTTATTTATGTCGCATTCAAATAACAAATAGGCATAGACCCTGAGCAAAATAATATGTATATAAGAATGGAGCTCAGAAGCTTTTGATATAAGAAATGCTTTATCCCGTTGAGTGTTACTCAATGGCTTTAACCGAACTAGTTATACAAATACTGCAACAAATGCTATCTTCCCGCAGTTGGTAAAATGTTCACATGTTAGAATCATAGGGCGCTTCAAATACCTCAATTTGGTTAAATGTCTTCAATTTAAAGTGCCTACCACTCTACTATACGATTCTCATAAGCCCATGTAGATTCTGATGTGTTTCACATATGTCAATTCATAAAATATTCTGTGTTGAAATTATTGGATTTTAAGTTACAGCTAAATGTAAATGAGAGTATTCGTTAATAGTTTAAGGGTCAATGGTTTCAATGGGTTCAAAAATTCCTTCTGTCTTTCACTCTTCTCTATATATATTTCAACCTATTATTAACCAAACCTCTGCCTCTTTCTCTTTATAGAACCGCCTCGTTGTTGCACGGCTCTAGGGAAAAGTATGTTGGCAACGGCACCACCCCGGACCTCAGCCAGATTCAGGTGTGCTGCGAGGGCTACGAGCGCAATCCCCATATTTATCGACGCTGCGAGCCGATTTGCGAGGACGACTGCCCCAATGGCATCTGCACGGCGCCCAATACCTGTGTATGCATGCCAGGACATGTGAGAACCGTTGAGGGTAAATGCATCTCCACCTGCCCACTCGGCTGCGGCAATGGCGTGTGCGACGATCAGAACGAGTGTCGCTGCCGTGAGGGCTACACACTGGACCCTGTAAGTCGCAAGTACTGCCTGCCGGAATGTAATCCGGGCTGCGCCAACGGCCGCTGTGTGGCGCCCAACAAATGCGACTGCCTGCATGGCTATCGTCGTGCCGCCGATGGCAGCTGTGCTCCCGTCTGCGACAACTGCGAAAATGGACAATGCACGGCGCCAGGACAATGCAGCTGCCACTCGGGCTACCAGCAACTGCAAGGACGCTGCGAACCCGTTTGCGAGCAGTAAGTATGCAAGGCCATCCACAGTCACAACAGCCATATAAGCAGTCACAGTCCCATATCGCAGTTCACAATCAAAATCACAGATGAAAAGAAAACACAGTACCCACACCAACTATAAAAGTACCATATAACCAATCTTAGCCACATTCCCATTTCACATCCAGAGTCACACTTTAGAATGTTCAGTTACAGCTGACTTCTGACCGTTATCACAGCACCCAAAGTCACTGTCACAGTCCAATGCTAATAGTCACAGTCGCAGTTCGTAAACGAACGCTAACAGTCGCAGTCGCAATTGGTTAACTATCACAGAAATCGGCACTGTCGCTTTCACTATCAACTATCAACAATCACATTCACAGTGCCCATATAAACATACAACGTCTCAAGTAAACAGGCGCAATCACAGTTCTCATCTTAACACTCATATTCCTCACTAATCAAAGTTTTAAATAAACATCAGTCACAGTGAGTCACTTTTACAGTCACAAAACCTACTAGTCTCAGTCACTTTCCAATATCCACTGACATTAACATTCTTTGACTTCGCCTTACAGTCGGAGTCTTAACTAAAAAGTAACTTTCACAGTCACAGTGCACAAATTCACACTCATAGTCCGAAACGGGCACACTGAGAGTCATAATCATGTTTACAGTCCGATCTTATATTATCCCAATCCACAGACCCTGCAAGAACGGCGGCCGTTGCATTGCGCCCAATACCTGTGAATGTGCGCCCGGCTATGATTGGGAGCGAAAGAGCGGATCGTGTGTGCCCCACTGTGATGCAGCCTGCCTGAATGGTGTCTGCATTGGCCAGAATCAGTGCGAATGCAAGCCGGGCTATGTCTTGGATGAGCATCAGCGCAACATCTGCCAGCCGCATTGTCCCCAGGGCTGCCCCAATGGCTTCTGCAGTGCGCCCAACTTTTGCATCTGCAAGCCGGGTTTCATCAAGAGCGGCATCAAGGGACGTCAGAGCTGTCAGCCCGTTTAATTTTCGATTGTTGTGCACTTTTCAAATGTTACTTAAATCTACGACCAATTAAACAAACGTCCAATCAGCGCATTAAACTCGTAATTCAACTCCTCATTGTGGTCCTTGCGTCGTTGTCGGCTGCTCAGTTGTTGCTCAATCTGCTGCGGCTCCAGGCACTTGCCGAGGAAGTGCGTCCATCCGGCGGCGCACTGGCAATGCCCATTGGCATCGCAGCTACCCTGTACACAATGCTGTTCATCCGGTCCACAACCGCACACGTTGGGCGTTAGACATCTTCCATAGTAGCCGCAGGAGCTGTTAATAATCATATACTCATATATATACTCATGAGTGTTTAAATGTGTGTGATTCAAGGGCTGTGTGTATGTATTTCTGAGCACTATATTTTGTTTTCAGGCATTTATTAAACTAACAAATATTTATAGTATAAGAATCCGTTCTAAGATCAAGAAAACTGATGCCTCATCAAATGTTGATCCACAATTATACTTTAATTGGCTACTAAATGGTTGAATGTTTGTTTCCCAGAGTCTATTTCCAAATTCTTATAGTTTTTTAATTATCTTATTTTCGATTTATACACCTGCCTGAGTTTCTCGAATGTTTTTGATTTATTGTTAATATAACTCCTATTAGCACAGCAAGAATCAGAGAGAGTTGAGGAATTTGTAGAATTTTCGATTCGGCATTTTGGATTTGTTATCTTCGATCTTTCTAATACAAAACTAACTGACTTTTGCTTTAAATTGTCTAAGAGTGAAGTCTTTAAAAAGCAACCATATCTAAGTAAAACATTGTTATATTTTAAAGCTTGTTTACCAAACAGCTGACTATGAAAACAATGAAGTGGAAATCACGGGTTAAATAACTTTTTTTTTGTATAGACTCACCCCTCGCACAAAGGCTCACAGCTGTTGCCGCGCAGCTCGTAGCCCTGGAAACAGCGACAGATCCCGGGCGCAATGCAAACCCCATTGCCATGCCCACAATCGTCCTGGCAGACGGGCAGGCAGCTGGTGGTGTTGTCATCATAGCGATAGCCCGCACGACAGTGGCACTTGAAGCGGGACTCACAGAAGCCATTCTCACAGTTGCTGCAGAGGATGTTGAAGAGGAATTAGTCAGGCCCGGTGAGTTGCTGGCAATTGAGAGAGTGTAGCATATTGTACCCACAGGTAGCACTCGGCCTCACAGACATTGCGCTGCCGCCGCTTCATGAAGCCGGGAATGCATTCGCATTCATTGGGCGCCACGCATTTGCCGTAGCCACAGTCCGGCGCACAGATGGGCTGGCAGCCCAGCTCTGGGATGCGTCGATAGCCCGGGTCGCATTCGCATCTATCCGGCGCCACACACTGCTCATGCGTGCCACAGCCCTTGGGGCAGTGGGCGCGACAAAATAGACGTGTCTCCGCATCCAACGTGTAGCCCGCGTGGCAGGCACAGGTGCCATTCAGATAGCAGCGTCCATGTTGGCAGGCAATAGGGCAGGTGTGTATGCAAGCGCCCTGCTCGTTGCGTACAAATTCCGCAAAGCATTCACAGCGTCCCGTTGCGCGGCAGAAGCCATTGCGGCAATTATCTGGCGAGCTGTGCGCACAATCCGGCACACAGTGTCCACTGTACGGATCCGTGTGATAGCCCTCACAGCACTGCTCAATGCGTTGATAATAAATGCTGGAGCCATTGCCACGCACCGGCACCTCCTTGTTCGTCTGAAAGAATATGGCACTACGGAAATATTCGATATTTTCTATGGTCAGCTGGCGGCACTGTGCGCTTTACTTACGGCAGCTCGCGTTGACAGAGATTCGGACGCGTTTGACTAAGTGAATCGAACTCGCCGGGTGTGTGTATGTCGCCATATAGCTCCAGACTCGCTCGTGTCACTGCTGCCAAGGTGGCCGTCGACGTCAACGTCTCTGCCAGCAGCATTAGCAACAGCGGCTCGGTCCAGCTACAATTCCAGCGCATCTTGCGTTGTTCGCAGCTCCAGCTTCATCTGGGGAATGAGCATTTCGTGGCTTGTGCCCCTTGCCAGTGCGATGCCTTATCAGCCACAGCTCACACTCAGCTAAATTCTCTGCTTTTTCTTAGGCACAGATCTTTAATCTTTTATTTATGTGTGTTTCTGAATATTAAACAACAGGTTCTAGTCGAAAGCTCCCGACTAGGGAATACCCTGAACCCTCTTATACCAACACCAAATGCAGATCGCGCAACGCGCTCGTTTGAATTAATAAAGATAAATTTAAAAAAAAAAGTCCCTTGGCAGGGGTCGAACTCGCAAACTAACCGAATTACTTGCCGCCGTCTCTACTCAACAGCCACACCAATAATTAAGTACTTTTGAAAAAAAAGCGGACAAAATAATCACAAGAATTTAAAACAGACGCGCATGGATGTATGTGTGTACATGCATACAGAAATTCTTGGAATTTGCGCTAGCTGTTGCTAACACGTGCACAGTCAAAACACATATGTAACTTTTGTGTGTTTCTTAACTGATCTTAATGAAATTTTCTACAGCATATATTATTGTACCATAGAATATTTGTGTATTCTCAAAAAGTCAATTGGATCAAAATTGTGGCTTAAATTGGTGGGCAATATTAGTTGGGTTAACAACTCGATTTCTAGCTCTTCGGTGGTAGCGGGGAAGTGGCGATAGGTATAAAATGAAAGATACTTGATATATATATAATATTCTAGAAGCAACATATCAAGTTTCGTGATTCTAGCTCTTAATATTTACCCAATTTGCTCAAAAAACAGGATTCCGATGTCGATTTTATTGATTGCTCGGAAACAAACTTGATCTGCGTAGGCACTAGGAACCTACAGATAACATTTCAAGTCTCTTGCTGTTATAGTTTCTCATATCCTTGCGTTCATACACACGAACATGGCTAGATCGACTATATTTTACCTAATGCCTGTTACATACATTTGCACACAAACATTATATAGGTTCAGGGTATAAAAACACATTTAAGAATAGCCGAGATTGAAATTCTACTAGTCAATTGATCAATATTTATTTTTACTTATAATTGTTTGCTTGGCTGGCTCGAGGTCCACGATTTTTTTATTGAGTCGCCTTTAAGGTCGGGCAGGGAGTAGTCCTCTTGCGAGCCGGCTGCGGTGTCTCACTAATCTATCGCTGTATCTGCTTATGTGCCTTCCAATCTGTTTTTCAACTGCATGCACTTTGAGATCTTTATGCAGTGTAGAGCCGCGTACGTTCCAGGGACAGTTGGTTATCTGTCGTAGTACCCTATTCTGCAATACCTGTATACGTTTATAATTGGATTTGGCTGATATCCATAAATCCATATCGGCAAAATACAGTGCATATATACAGCTCTTTTACATCTCAGCGGCTCCGTTTATTGTTGAGCCACCGCAGTTGTTGCAGTCTGTGATGACATTTTTTACCGAAGCTTTGAGGTGTGGCCCAAAGTTAAGACGCTTGTCCAAGATGATGCAGAGTTACTTAGCTCGTGGCGGCTGCTCCAGGGTAACTCCCTTAAGCTGGATTGGAGGGGTATGCATCCGCATTTTGAGGATAAAACATGGGCTTGTTGTTTTGAGCGGGTTAACCTTCAAATTCCACCGGTTGCACCAAGCTGCAAGAGTATCAAGATATCCCTGAAGTCCATTACTTGCTTCTTCCCAACTTTTGGAGTTATAAATGACTGCGATGTCATCTGCATATGCCGCAATAATAGCCTTAGAGGGATATTCCATATGTTGAGAGGTAGGGCTGCGTATATCTGAGGTATACAACCAAGAACACTGCCCTGCGGTACTCCTGCTCTCATATTACAAGTGGAAGAGTATGTGTCCCTTACCTTGACCTTGAACAATGGATAGCGATGACTACAAAAATAAAATTACAAATATTTTATATGACTTTTGCGCGTATAACACTAAGACAGGATCCATCATCAAAATTTCAAGCAAAGAATAAAAACCTTGTGACACAATAGTTTAAGATGGGACATATATCAAAAGACGAAGGAAATAAGATGATTTTTATCACAGCGGTACCCCCAAGAACATATGGACTACCGAAAATTAATATGGAAGGGACACCTCTGAAATCAATATCCTCCTCTATCCGTTCTCCGTAATATCGACTGTGCATATATAAAGAAACTTGACAACGGACTCTAAAAATAATATTACGAATTCGTTAAAGTTCAAAGACAAGGCCACTATCGGGGAAGATGAAGTGTAGTATCTTTTGACGTAGTATGCCTGTTTCCCAGCATACCATATAATTGGCACAGTGGAACTAGAACATGTCGGGAAGCTATTATTCTTAGATACTTTGGTAAACAGGGTGGAGAACTCACTTAAAATTAAGTGGTATAGTTTCTGGAAGAATACTTAACTTCAACTCTAACAACCCAAAAAATATGGTTTTAAATACGGCACTAAGCTGTATGAGAAGAATGACAAACATATCGGACGAAATATACCATAAAGAAATTGAGCACGAAATTAATAAACTATTGACCATAAATGACTAACCGAAGAATTTAATTAGAACATTATTTAAAAGACATATCGGAACACAAAAGCCAACAGAATCTCCATAAATATACAGATCGATATACAGATCTCCAACATATGTATCTCGATTGTCGGAACGGCTTATAAGCTCAGACTGCTATAACAGACAAGAAATAAAAGTAGCCCACAAGCCCACAAATACATTACAAAAAATCTTTAATAATACAAGGTCGAAAATACCAATGATGGACATAAGAAACGTCATTTATAAAATATCATGTGGCGGGGATAGTAACAATATTCGCAACAGCCTGTGCATCGGCACAACAAAATCCAAGCTGAAACAAAAAAAAACAAGAATAACTCAACACAAATCTGACTTCAAATTAAGACATCAAAATAATATTCAACAAGTAAGAGGTTCTAGTCGGGAGCTCCCGACTAGGGAATACCCTGACCCCTCTTCTTCCAACATCAAATGAATATATATATTCTATTTTAAAAGCTATATGTCAAGTATGGAGGCTCTTATTATTTACCAAAATTGCCAAAAAACCAGGATATCGATATCGATTTGTATCGATTGCTTAGAAACGGAGTAGGTTATCGATTATCGGAAACAAACTCGATCTGCGCGGGAACTAGGAGCATCTACATCTAAAATTTCAGTCTCTAGCTCTTATAGGTTCTGAGATCCTTGCGTTCATACATACGGACGGACAGACAGACGGACATGGCTAGATCGACTCAGCTATTGGTGCTGATCAAGAATATATATACTTTATGGGGTCGGAGATGCTCCCTTCTGCCTGTTACATACATTTGGATTTTGCACAAATACAATATACCCTTATACCCATTTTTAATTGGTTCAGGGTATAAAAATCACCACTTATGACCCACTGTATGAAAAGCAACCGCACACCAAATTTCGATGCGCCAACAATTTTACAACAAGAACAACTCTATAACAAAAGACATACATTAGAAATGTTGCACATAATAAACACACCAAGCAACAGACGACTAAACTAAAAAACGGACACCGAAAACTGCGCTCATCACATCAGTCTATATAGAAGTTGCTTGTAAGAGATTTTTACGAAAAGGCTAAGCCCGTTTCTAAGGCCCAATTTTATTTAACATTCAAAAATATTAAAGTAAAATTATTTATAATATAATAGAAAGGAGACAATGTAAGGTTGAGTCCCCGGCTTAATAATAACACAGAAATTTGCCCACATTCTATGTAAATTTCTTTAGAATTTTGTACAAATGTGTGAGTAATCAGTTAATATTAGCTTAGATACCCTCATTCAAATTATAATTCAACAATTTATATTCATATATTTATAGCTTATACCAGCATATTCCACCATTGGCTCTCTCTTTTTTCACTCTGAAACAAGTAAGAGGTTCTAGCTGGGAGCTCCCGACTAGGAGATACGCTGAACCCTCTTACCTCAACAGCCACACCAGCCAAAAAAAAAAAACAGTTTCCTCGGTAAGGTTCGACCTCGCAACAAACCACTCTACTAAATTGGTTTATTTAATTGATTTATAGCTATAAGATAATAGCGATAGGTATAAAATTGGTGACTCTAGCTTTTATTATTTTCTATCGATAACTTGGAAACGGGGAAAGTTATCGAGTATCGGAAGCAAACTCGATCTGCGCGGGCACTAGGAGGACCTACAGCTGAATGCAAGACTCCAGCTCTTATAAGTTCTTAGATTCTTGGCTAGACGGACGGACAGACAGACAGACATACATGGCTAAATCGACTCGGCTATTGATGCTGATCAAGAATATATATACTTTATGGGGTCAGATATGCCTGTTACATAAATTTGCACAGAAACATTATACCCTTTTTACCCATTTTCAATGGGTACAGGGTATAAAAAGGGAAGCCCTAATCGAGTTCCGCTCAGTTTTGCCAGAAAACTTAACTGCATCAGTTGGTTATTCTTAAAAGAAAAAAAATTGTGTTATTCTTGATATATAAAATGAGATGCTGTAAATATTCGGGGTTACTATCGAGTACCTTGGTGTTACTTGTTCTGGCTTGCGCCATTTCGAAAACGACTACTCAGGAAATAACCGATACGGAACTTTTAAGCAACTGCATTGAAGGATGTAGCCTCAACGATTGTCAGAATGGCGAATGCAGTTGCAAGGAAGGATTCTATAGGAAACTAGGTAGCGAGCACTGCGTTGAGAATGTTTGTATTCCGCAGTGTTCGGAAACCCAAAAGTGTGAGACTGGCAAGTGCAATTGTGTAGAGGGCTATGAAAATTATGGCGTAGGTGGTGCCTTCAATTGTAGCAAACCAGCTGAGAGGAACAAAAATAACTGCTCTGAAGATTGTGGGTTAAATGGATATTGTTTGAATACAACATGCATTTGTAAGGAAGGTTTCTACAAGAAACTAGGTCAAGAAGACTGCGTTGAGAATGTTTGCACTCCGCAGTGCTTGGAAAACCAAACGTGCTCGAATGGCAGCTGCACTTGTGTAGAGGGCCATGAAAATTTTGGCGTAGGTGGTGCCATCAATTGTAGCAAGCCGCTTGGGAGCACAGAAATCAGGAATGAAACTGTGAAAGTTATAGCACCTGTAACCCACAGCACCACAACAACATCAACAACAACAACAACATCAACAACACCATCAACAACGACAACACCACTCACGACTTCCACACAGAATCCACCATCAACAACGACAACGACTTCCACAGAGTATTCAACAACCACACAAAAAGAAAACGAAAATACAACATCTGCCAAACCAACACCTAAACCCAAACCACATACGCGAAAATCTGGCATGAGCCCATGGGCCATTACGGGAATCATTTTTCTAGTGGCTTGCCTAGTAGGATTTGGTGGATTCATGTTATACAGACACAAGCAACGCGGCGCTTACAGGGCTACCTCCACAATCTACCGTTAGCAAAAAAAAAAATTAATAATATAAAGTTATATAATTTGTATGTTTTTTAATTTAATAAAGTTCAAAAGAACTTGCTATCAGACCTCAAAATAAAGTTTTAAATTGTTACCTTTTAGCATAACGAGTAGAAGTAACGAAATTGCAATTTCGACGAAAAAGAATGACTATCTTCGGCACACCGAAGATTTAATACCCTTGCAGACCCAACCTTTTCATAATGTTCATAGTGCTAAGAAGCGCGGGGAAAATAGCTTATACCGAGTATTGTTAAGATATCTTTAAAAATAAAGACGTTTTCGATATAACAACTTAGTTTTCGACCGATCGTTCCTATGGCATTTATATGATATAGTGGTCCGATTCTAATCGGATTTTGCATATATATGGGGAGCATAGTAAAACTAATAAATGACGAGTTTGTCAAGATATCTAAATAATCAAAAAGTTTTTCTTACAAGAACCCACTTTTCGACCAATCTTTCCTATGTTAGTTATATGATATAGTGGTCCGATCCAGCTGGCTCCGACATACGTACTGCGTTCAACAAAAAGAGGCACTTCTGCAAAGTTTCTTAAAAATAACTTGAAAACTGTGAGAATAGTTTGCATGGAAACAGACAGACGGACATGGCAAATCGACTCGGCTGTTGGTACTGATCAAGAATATATATACTTTATGGAGTCGGAGATGTCTCCTTCTATGCATTATTCATTTCACGACAAAACTATAATACCCTCTGCAAGGGTATAAAAACATTATTATAAGTTGGAAGTACGTTTTAAATATATGAAGTGCAAAGAAATTTTTTGTATCAAATTTAAAGTATTAAAATCACATTTTCCGCTTCTGAATATTTTAAGTCAACGTTGGTAATCTTCTTCTATTAAATCTACTACTATACTATACTTATAACCCGCATTTAATTATAATTAATATCGTTAAATACATAATATCGTTAAGTAATTAAATCACACCCGCAGATTTGAACAATATAAATTTATGTTTTATTAAAAGAAAAAGCGTTTACTAAAGTTATGCAGTCTACGGCATAAACTAAAGGAGGGCAAACCTTCTTAGAGAATGTCATATAAACTCTCAGGGCTTCTGTGCAGGACCGTGGTGTTCTGCCTTATCCTTTCTATCAGCGGCAAGGAATCAAATTCGCTAAAAGAAGATGCAAATGTGGATACGAAGAGGTTCACAAACGATGGTCTTAAATCGAACAATGAATGTCAGGCTGGAGAAAGTCGTCCGACTATTGTAGGAATATTAAAATGCAGACCTTCAACTGCCTTAACAAATATATCAACCCAAGAGACTGTGACAACAACTGCAACACACATCTTACAAACAAGTAAATGGCCACGAAGATATGCACATTATACAAGAATACCAAAACCCACACATCACACGAGAAGACCAAGGCCAACTCATCACACCAGAAGACCACCAAGACCAACACACCGCACAAGAAGGCCACCGAGTCCAACACACCACACAAGAAGAACACATCATACTAGAAGACCAACGAGACCAACACATCATACTAGAAGACCTCCCAGGCCCACACACCACACAAGAAGACCACATCCCACCAAAAGACCAACGCGACCCACACATCACACAAAAAGACCTACAAGACCCACACATCATACAAGAAGAACTCATCCTACAAAAAGGCCAACTCGTCCTACACGTCATACTAGAAGACCAACGAGACCTACACACCACACAAGAAGAACACATCCCACAAAAAGACCAACGACACCCACACGTCGCACAAAAAGACCTACAAGACCCACACACCACACAAGAAGACCACATCCCACCAAAAGACCAACGCGACCTACACGTCACACAAAAAGACCTACAAGACCCACACACCACACAAGAAGAACACATCCTACGAAAAGACCAACGAGACCTACACATCATACTAGAAGACCTACACATCACACAAGAAGAACTCATCCTACCAAAAGACCAACGCGTCCTACACATCACACACGTAAAACTACACGCCACAAAAAGCCAACAAAACCAACCCATCAGACAAAGAGACCAACGAGAACTACTCGTCACACACGGAGACCAACACGGCATACAAAAAAACCCACGAAAACTACACGACATACAAAGAAGCCGACAAAAACTACTTATCACACAGTCAAGCCAACAATAACAACAAGATGTACAAGCACAACAGCTGAGCCAACATACCCACCAACAACGGACACACCACCCGTGCCTACAACGGCTGAACCAACACCAGAGCCAACAACTCCGGAACCGACAACACCTAAACCTACAACACCAGAACCAACAACTCCGGAACCGACAACACCTGAGCCAACATCACCAGAGCCAACAACTCCGGAACCGACAACACCTGAGCCAACAACACAAGAGCCAACAACTCCGGAACCGACAACACCTAAACCTACAACACCAGAACCAACAACTCCAGAACCGACAACACTTGAACCTACAACACAAGAGCCAACAACTCCGGAACCGACAACACCTAAACCTACAACACCAGAACCAACAACTCCGGAACCGACAACACTTGAACCTACAACACTTGAACCCACAACACCAAAGCCAACAACTCCGGAACCGACAACACCTGAACCGACAACACCAGAGCCAACAACTCCGGAACCGACAACTCCTGAACCTACAACACCAGAGCCAACAACTCCGGAACCGACAACACCTGAACCCACAACACCAAAGCCAACAACTCCGAAACCGACAACACCTGAACCGACAACACCAGAGCCAACAACTCCGGAACCGACAACACCTGCACCTACAACACCAGAGCCAACAACTCCGGAACCGACAACACCTGAACCGACAACACCAGAGCCAACAACTCCGAAACCGACAACTCCTGAACCTACAACACCAGAGCCAACAACTCCGGAACCGACAACACCTGAACCGACAACACCAGAGCCTACAACTCCGGAAACGACAACCCCTGCACCTACAACTTCTTCACCTACCTCTCCTGAACCAACAACATTTTCAACAACAACAGCAGAGCCTACAACACCAAAAACTACTACGCTTGCACCTACAACAACGGGAGCCTCATCTACACCAACATCCACAATGGCACCTTCAACAACTAAATCGACTTCGACAACTACAAATACAGTCCCATCAACGAAAACAATGACATCAACAACCGAATCCACAATTCCAACCAGAACAACAAATTCTACAACAACAACCGACTCAACAACTAATTCTACAAGTTCACCAACAACAACAACCAGCTCAATAACCCCTTCATCGACATCAGAGTCCACAACAGATAGCCCAGTCCCATCTATGACCGCAACAATATAACAACCGATTGCCCAGTTTCATCTACAACCCAAAAGGAAAACCTACAACTACTACATCAACAGCTCGATCAACAGCTATAGGTAATAACAAGCAATTGAATAGCCCTACTATCAACAAACGATTCAACAACCACGCCTACAACAATGCCAACAACAACCATCAGCAACTCCCACAATCAATATTTTGTTTGAAGCGACATTCAAGTTAATAATAATCCAAATAAATATAAAACAAGTATTTGCTTAAATTGTTTATATATAATTTTTTATTATACAAAAGTAAAGATTATATGGCAATAAAAATCTGAAAGCCGTACAATGATGCCTACATATATTGCTAATAATATTTCTGATGGTGTTTTGTTGCGCTGCCGTAGATCTGTTTCTAATACGGTAGATATGAAAAGTCAATTTAATATTTAACAATTTCCATGATGTAATTTGCTTGTTGATTTTATTTTATTTTTAATTCTTAGTGCTTTTAGTTGTAATGGTTATTCGGCTTGTAAAAGTCGGTCTGATTCTTAAACGAACGTAAAATCTACAAGTGGGCAATTTTGTGCGTTGTAATCTGATTGGGCACCTGCAGAAAGTTGGCGTTCTGCGGCGGTATGATCAAGTGCGAAACATGAGAGCCAGCCGATGTAGTATGCTGGTGGTGGTGGTGGTGCTGCTGCTGCTGCTGGTGCGACTGACCACGACGAAGTGGCGGGGGTGGAGGCAAAAAAGCGGTTGCTGTGGTTGAATGCTGATAACGTGGCTGCTGCGAGGCATGTAGTTGGTGTTGTGGATGCTGCTGTTGATGGTGGTCCTGGTGGTGCTGGTGGGGCTGGTGGTGGTGCTGCTGATGATAGCGTATCTCGTCATACAGATGCGAGTCGAGGCTGCCCTTGCGAGACTTGGGCGAGATGACCGAGTAAAGTGATTCCTTTCGCGCATAGGCATAGGGTTGCGTAGTTATTGAAGAGTTATTGCTCGGCGTATCATATAGTTCCGGCAAGGATGCTGCAAGTAATCAAAAGATTAGCTTAGTTTGTTTTAATACATGGCTAATGCGATGAATAACTTGATATTAGACATGAAGATATGGAAATCATATTATAATCTATATATGAACCCGTTAATTATTGTTTCTGATTTAAAGTAAATTATTTTTGGGTTTCAAATGAATTTTAAATTCTTACAGTAAAAGTTAGCAAAGCCTACGAGCTAATTTTTTTTTTATCTATACATTTTTTTTTTCTATATTTTCAGAAAATATTTTTAAAATTTATAAATTTAGTAAACATTTGGCAAAGCAATAATCAAGTTATTCATCGAACCGCCCTCTTAATAGGCGGGGCGACACTTACATACCCTCGTTCGTTTGGGATTGATTAGAAGCTATGGCAGGAGGCTTTGGCAGCGGTCCATGAAAGATTTTGCCCAGTGCGCTAGACTCACTGATCACAACCTCGGGATTGGCATGGCCAGTGCCATGCCCTTGTGGAGAACTGAACGTGCCATTGGCATTATATACAACGGCCTCCTTGTGCAAATGCTGACGTCTGTAGACATAGAGGAAGCCCAGTGTGATGACAATCATCAGCATGAGCAGCATGACAATCAAGGTACTCAGCAGGCTGGAATCTTGATCATGGGCGCTGCGGCTGGGATTACTTTCGCCGGCAGCGAAACCGGCCAGATTCAGCTGTGGTGAATGCTCCTGCGATCCACTGCCGCCGGCATTCGTGATGACATGTATGACCTCGGGTGTTGGAACACCCGCCGCTGCAGCGGTATGCAGATTCTCCAGCAGCGCATTGCTCGATTCGTGCAATATGATCTTGGGCGTGTGTGCGGCCTCCTGTAAGGGCTGTTTGATCAGTATGACCTCTGGCAGGGCACTGGGCGTCACCTGGATGTGGCTGACCTCGGACATGCTGCCAATGCGCTTGGCAATCTTGTTGATGTTGTGCGTCAGATTTGCCATGGTCGAGTTAATGGTCTCCAGCACAACGTGGCTGACATTGACGGCTCCAGCGCTTTCCTCTGCTATGCATTCGCCGGTCTGCGGATGACAACGTTTCTCTTTGCAGTCGCAGGTCTTGCGGCACATGACGCCATGTGTGCCCACCGGACACGGCTGCTCGCAGCTAAAAGAATGTAATATATTTCAGTTTCTATACTATACACTACACTCAAAGAAAAACTTAAGAATTTTGAATTGCGCTTCTTCAAGCTCGCAAATTCCTATTAAAAGTTTTTTAAACGGGATTCCATCTTATTTTTGATACATTTTGAGCTACTTTAAGATCTAACGCAATTTATGCTTATGATTAATATTTCCTTAAAAAAAAGAATAACTTTCAAATGATAAGAACGAAGTTTTTCTCTGAGTGTATTGACAACAATTAACTTACAATTGACCCGCCCAGCCGGCAATGCAATGGCAACCGCCTGTCTTATTGTCACAAACCGCATCATTTTGACATTGGCATTGATTCTTGCATTCCAGTCCCCAGCGATCGTGATCACAGCCTGACAAGAAAATGGAAGGACATCAAACATTTAACTAGCAAGGAATTCTTGTACTCTACTCACGCTGGGTGCAGTGTTTGCCGGTGTAGCCCTCCTCGCAGCTGCAGATATCGGGCATTAGGCAATTGCCACGCCCACAACCGCCGCGACAAATGGGCCGGCAGCTGGCGTGGCTATCCGAGAGATTGCCCTCATAGCCTTGGCAGCAAAAGCGTACTGTGCGCGTTTTGTTGACTCTCTAAAAAAAATGGAAGTGGGGGAATGAATCAGCGAGAGCGGCAAACAGAAAGAGAGGGAGAGACAGAGAGAGAGAGAGAGAGAGGGTAAGTAAGATTTAACTTATATTGATATGAAGCAACGTTTTATTACATTTTTAACTAAAATGCCATTGCTGATATCTGAAAGTAATGAATAATTTCTAGTGAGCAAATTGTTTAGCTTGTTTAAGATGTTACTCATCTTGTTTATATACATGATATATGTTTTAATAATTTATTTAATGGGAGCTTATTTGAAACGTTTATCTTATATTCTTTTAAGAAAATATAATAAGACTAATTCAGTCTTTGGCATATACATTTCCAAGAGTATAAAATGTTTTCCAATCGCAAAACCTGGCTTTTTCCTACAAGCTTATGCCTTATAATTCGCAACGAGTTCAAGCAGCATACCAATGGCTAGATAAGGCGCAAACGTGAAGTTGAAATAAAAGTTTACTAGAGATAGAACCGGGAAGTTCCTAAAAAGGCTATACAAGCGATCTGTTCATTATTTTGTGTATCTCGCTGTATAAACTATGCCCTTAGCCCTGAAAGTGGTCACATCTTAATCTAGTTAATCAAAGTTACGCCGCCTGACGTTGCAAGAGTATTATGTGCTCTGCCATAAATATTGTTCATATTAGTCAAATGATGATAAATTCAATGAGCAGAATGTTTTGTCACACATTCATTGCTAGCCCACAAGAAATAATATTTAAATTTATGTACATGTAAGCATTATCAAAGACCGCTTCCTGTTGCAGCTCAAAGTTTCTTGAGTGGATTTGCGGAATTGTTGCTCGGTCCTCAGTTCGCATACCGATTGCAAGCGCGCAGCACTTAATTTAAATATTTTCAAAAACTATAAATACAAAATGCAACGCTTTCAGTTTTCAAGCTTGCTATTCGGCACCTGGCTTTTGTTGCTATTGGTTTTTGCCAGCGGCCAGGAAATTGAGACTTTGACATTTAACGTAGGGGCTGATCATCGACCAGAGTCTACATCAGAACGACTGCTGTCTAGCTCAACTCAATCAACTGAAACAGAAGCAAGCACAACATCGACTAGTTCAACAACAACAACCACCACACAACGACCTAAACCACCCAACCCACCAAAACCACACGAACTATGGGAAGTCCTTATTGTTGTTGCTACGCTGCTTGTTATTGTAATTGTTTTGTATTTAATTTACAAATTAAGGAATCGCAGATCCTATGACGTCTAAACATAAATGTAAAGACAAGTGTCACATATATATTAAAAATCATATTAAATACTAATCAAAACTAACTTTAAGTGTCATGTAACTAAAATAATTAATTAAAGCTTTGATTTTGTTGCGACGTGTTTAAAGAAATTATCTATTCAAATCGTAGAGCGACGTAAGCGTACATATTTATTTAATTGAGAATATTTGTACTATATATACTCAAGCGATACTCGAACTAAAAGTACACCTCTTAAAATATTGAACAACAATCAATTGTATGTTGTGCCTAAAAGTAGTCCACAAATATTTATTTAGTCATATTGAGCCAACGATTATGCAATAGTCTTTGACAAATTGCAACATTTTATGCGCTTAAAAATCTGACTTAGTTCAAGAATAGATATATACCATAAGTATATATTTATACTAGCGGTTATAACCCGGCCTTGCCCGTGGCGCGAATAAGATAAATGTTCTTAAAAAGCTTTGAAAATGATTTTGATTAAAATTCTCATACTGCGGCAGATATGGGGCTCGGCTCTAAATTAAATTTTCCATTCATGTGTTGTAAAGGTACTAAATCATGATTGTACAGGTTCTACACTTAATGATAATAATAATGATAACAAAAAAAAAAAGATGAAACAACTTTCATACAACCGCCCATTTATCACTGTTGCGGGTGGAAACACGTATTCATTAAATGTTATGTAGAGCTTTGAAAGTAAGTTTGAAGCAAATCGGACACAACTTAAAACTTCGAGAAACACGTCCCAATTGAATTTTCATAATGATCTTTGGAAATGAATTTGATGGCAAAACGTTACCCACCAAATCTTTGACTTCCATTTCCACCAAAGAGGAATGGATTTTTCGAAAAATGTAAAGCAGCCCCCAAATGAATTTGAACAAAGATCTGTGGAATTGAGTTTGAGGCCCATCGGATGGTTTTCGCGATTTTTTCATACTTGCGGGTGGAATTTTCCGGAACCCCGTCTTAACGAGCACCTTCATCACATAATGTAACTACAGTGAAAACTTGAGCTCCCTAGCTCTTACGGTTTGGGCTGTGCGTTGATCACCAATCAGTCAGTCAGGAAATACAGTTTAATATATAGAGATAAAATAACAAATTAACAACTTGGATAAATCAAGTCCGTTTTTACGATCCACAAAAAAACGTATGTTATTAAAAAATCGAATTTAATGCTCGAGATAGAAAAGAAAAGGCACTAGAATTTAGAGATCTTAGAAACGAACCCTTTTTATAAAACATTTTAGACAAGCCAATAGGCCTGATCATTAACACTTATATCATTTATTAATTTAATAGGATGATTATCAATTAAAGCATTTAAATTAAACTACAACTACATATTAACTTCGATTCATACTATTCAACATAATTTTCGACTCGGATCTGCAATAAAGTGAAATTTAAGCACATCTGAATCTGCCTTGTCCTCTCACATTCAATGTCAACTCGTTGAACTTTGTAACGCTGCTCGGTGCTGGGCAGTTACAAAAGGCGAAAGTGCTGATTATGTTAAATCTGAGACATGCATAGACCACGCCCACACACACACACATACGTTGACACAGACCCCTTGAGTTGCCAATTTAATTGAATAATCGGAATGCCAAGCGCTTCTCACAATCATTTGTGAGTGTCCCGAAGTATGCCCAGCTTTTTTTTTATTCAGTCGAATTCCCGGACAACTTACGCATTGTTCTCTCCCTTGTTGATCAAAGTGTATCTGCAGCTGTGCATTTGTATCTGTATCTGTGTTTGTAACTGTGTGTGTGCGAGCATAAATTAATAAGGCGGAAATTTTAATATAAACACAGATATTACGATTCGTGTGCTCTGTCCGTTTCATTGTAAGCATAATTAAGCGCAGCTTTTAATGCAGCCTTTTGTCGAATGTTCACCATAAATGAATACTCGTGCGTAGTACTTGCTTAGGTAATTGAATACATGTTGAGCAATGTTTAACAAATGCGAGTGATCATATTACGGCCACAACTCGTACAGCTTCCAGCTCCCGCTTACTGTCAGGCCCATCAATCATTGTGGCGCCTGCCTTTTATTTTTATTTATTTATTTTTTTTTTTTTTGTTTTTGTTTTATATAATTCACTTGATTTGTGAAAATCTTTGTGGGGGGAATATCTTTCGGCACTTTGGCAACGGTACAAATCGTATGCGGAAAACTAGTTTTCCACAGTCTCATGTCTCGTAAATGGCTTTTTGGCACTCCTCAAGCGATTTCTGTTTCATGTTAATTAATTAAACGCAATTGGCAATTAGCATCGGCATTTTTACCGCACAAATATACTTATAAACAGCTGCTGAGCGCCAAAAATGCCAACCCCAAACTGCTTTCCTAACAAAGCAATCATTTCTGTGTCCAGCTGTCTATCTGTGTACTCGGGTGCTCTAGAAGTTAGTTTCTTCAAATGTGGAATGCAACTTCTTCTACCGTGAGACATAAACATCTGTGTTGCAACTGAAGAAAGTAAAATTGTGATCCTACTGAACTCAGAACTTCTACCAGAGCTAATATCTTCAAATTTAATTTGCGGGTTCTACAGAGGCCAACTTCTTAATAAATAGCAATTCAAGCCACTCTGCTTAAGTCCAGCTGTCTATCTGAGATCGATTTCTACATGAGCTAATGTCTTAAAATACCGACTTCTTAATGAATCCATTCGCTTTGCTTGCAGCTGTCTGGCTGAGCTCACTTTCCATATGAGCTACAGTTCTTAGACTGGGTATATAATTATTAGTCAGGTATGCATATTTATTTAGCTTCTGCTCATTTTCTCGCAGCCATGTCGGAATCTAAAATAGTTAAATTATGAAATTAATTTGCAACAAGCCTTAGACACATGCAACGCACGCTTGTGCACACATAATTAAAGTTGGAACTGAACTAAACCAAAACTGGCTGCATCTTATGGCCAGTTGAAACGAGCGTTGCGATGACGCAATCGAAAGTGTGTCAACAGCTTCGGCGTCAACTGCAGCAGCCTCCACATGAGCTGAGCTGAGCTGAGCTGAGCTGGGCCGAGCTAGTGGAGCAGTTTATATTTTCGTTAGCCTGGCTGTGCTCGATTTTCCGCTTTTCATTTGCACTTTCCAACACTGACACCATGACATAATTATATTTTTGTTAATGCCCAGAAAGAAACAAAAAGTTAAATAAAACCAGCCGAGCCTGATTAGGCACACACACCCCCCCTCCCTCCGCCTAAAACACGCAACCGGATTCTGATCATATTTGGCAGCCACTCGTTTTTCTCGATTTTTCACGTTTTCTTTTACCTGAACGAAGCATATATATTTAAGTGTGTGCCAGCTAAGTGAGATACGTTTAGTTTATTATGGGCATAGACTAATTAAATTCGTTATAAATTCAAAATTTACGTTTTTAATACAACTATAAAAATAAAATCATTGAAAGTTGTTTGTTTCAAAAAATCCATACAGAACTGCATTTCGAATCGTAGCTCTATCATATACGTATGTATTTCTTAGAGTATGCAAAGTTCTCTTTAAATTTGAATATCACGCATACGACGTGTTTGCCCAAAAGTTCATAGAAACTTTGACAGCCAAGGACGTTATCTGTGCTTGAAGCATGGGTCAAAACCGGTCGATGTTTTACAAAGACTTTTCATGTAACACACAGCTGCGACTTCCGTTCTCTGCCTACGATTTTTCCGCTAGGTGCTTGCGCAACTTTCATATATACTTAAGTATATATAGTAAATGTGTATTTCTTTTTGACAGAACCCATTAAATCCGTCAAAAATAATGGCAATTTATGGAATATGGCCAAGCGCGCGGTTTCCTGGTTAACAATGTGGCATATGTGGCAAATGGAATCAGGTTTGTGGGGCATATTGGCCAAGACTGGCCACGGCTGGAAGGTGTTGCAATGACGCAATCGCTGCCCCGCTAAAGGCATAGCCGGCAACGGCATACACCTGCACTCACCTGCACCTTCATCATCTCGCGCATTTCCGTCTTGTATGAGGGGCAGCGCGGCGGTATCTCCAAGCACCAGGTGGACGTGCGCACCCGCACCGGCTGCACCTCCGGCACCTGCACCACCTCCACGTAGGGCTCCTCGCGTGTGCATATATTGCCCGCACTCTGTATGGAAGGCAGCACCATTACCGTTGCATTCACATCCTTGAGGTATGTATTCACGCGCAGGCTGCTGTTCTGGCTGCTAATGCAGCCAGGTTGCAACAACAGCAACAGCAACAGCAGCAGCAGCAACAGTGGCTGCTGCAAGTAGCCACACACTCGTGAGAGTTTCATGTCTTAATTTGGCTTTGCTTTGCTTAATACCAAATAATTTTAGCTGTTATTTTGTTATTATTCAGTCAAGCAAACAGCTCATCATTATTTTGTACAACAGGAATGTAATTTTATGTTCTTACATAAATTTTTAATATTTATTATTATTGTTTAAATTTTTGTTGTTTTCAATTTTTAAGACTTTTTACTATGCACAAAGTATGTATTTTATGTTAGTTTTTGTTTTTTTGTTAAATCATATATAAACAAAGTTTTTATAAAAATATATATATTTATAACAAAATAAATTGTTATAATTTACTGTTTACATATTTTTAAATATTTTCTTTGAGCATTTTATAAGCCTTTTTGTTTTTTTAAATTGTATGGTATGTCATATTAAGTTATATTTTGCTTTCGTTATATTCTCATTTATTTAATTTTTTTAAAACCGTTTTTTTTTTATTTAAGATTTCTTTTATGCTATTTTTTGTAATATTCTTAATTTTGTTTAAAAATATTTTTGTTATTAGAAGTTTATTTGGAATAACTTTATAAATCCTTTTCAAATTTACGTTTGGTAAGGTCTTTTGTTAATATATAATGATTATTCTTCTCTTCTTATAAACAAAGAATGCTCATTTAAATGTATATTTTGTAGCATTTATTTAATATGTTCAAGAATGCTTCCATAGTTAAGTCCTTAAAACTATTGGTTTCGCAAACACAAGGTCTTCTGTATTTGAATATTGTTCTAGCACTTTCTTTAACTTTCGTTTTTCAACCAAAATTCTGATTCTTTCCGCTCGAAATGCGTTGCGTGTGCGCATGGAACGCGACTCTCGTAGTGACTGTTTTTTCCCGTTGGCTCCGATTCAATAGCACGTCTGGTCGCGTGTTCCTTCTCCAAAAACGGTGAACAGTAAACAAATGGGGAATATACATATATATGTACATATATGCATACGTATATATACAAATTGTTGTCATTGCAAATTGGCGACGCCGACGACACTTTTTGTCGAGCTAATGAAGGCCGCTGTGGGGCGTCGGGGGGGCTGGCAGCGGCAGGCGACAGGGCGGAAGTACGCACTGCACAGTTGAATTCTACAATGAAAGTGAAATGCGACTCACACACACGCACACTAGCAGACTAGTCTCCACTGCAGCTGTACTGAAACTCTCCAGTCAAACGCTGATCGTTCCCCTTCCCCCTATTCCATTCTGTCTCCACTCGGCGCGATGACGATGATCATCATGATTGCATCTAATTGAAATGTTGATAATGTCCTTAACATGCTGTCGCTTGTTGTTGCTGCTGCTGCTGCTGCAAGGCAAACCCGCTTTGTTTTTGTTGTTGCTGCATTTGCGCTTTTCTGTTGACAGTCGGCGACAGTTGACGAAACGTGGGAGAATGCATAAATTAACGTAAGCCCAAATTTAAATGAAGTAACATTTTTATATCTGATTGGCGCAGCAGCTGCTGGGAAATTCACATTTTCAATCTGGTTTTTCTTGTATTCATTAAATAAAATTCAGATTTTTAAATAATATGTATATTAATTAAATTTAATAAATTAATAAAAATTAAATAAATAACATTCAATACATTAATTAAAATTTATTTTATTATAGATTGTTTTAAATATGAATGTAATTATTACCATTATTATTGCTGTTTTTAATAAATTTAATATTATTATAGTCATTGTTATTATTCGTATTATTATTATCATTATTATTGGTATTACTATTAGTATTATTTTTTATATTCATTACCAAATTTATTGAAATCTTTGTTAAAACATCGACCTCAATTTTTAAATTCTTTATCTAATCGATTAGTTATAATTATTTTGATTTTATTATTATTCGCTTATTTAAACTATAAGCAGTCAGAACTAAGTTAAAATAAGGAAGTATATTTAAACTAAGGATTGTTTTCATGTTATACAATACCCAATAAGTATCGTCTGTATAGCTAGATTATGAATTTTGAAGCTTTAACTAGTTTCGAATTATAATGAGTTTTTTATTAAGGCGACAGCTAATCAAAGAAAATGTTATGCTTTTAATTTGTTACCCAAATAAATGGAGATACGAAACGAGTCATAACTCATTAATTAACAATGAAATTCTATTATGAGAAATGTGAGCTGATACGAACTTAAAACAATTTCAGTAATTGTTAAAGTGAAGCGCAATAAATTATAAAAAAGCTATGGATAAAATATCGGAAAAGTTTCGCATTGAAAGTTTTTTTTTTATTCTCTCTTCAATTCAAATAAAGCAAATTCGCAATTGTCATGAGCTGCTTTTGTGATGATAATCATATAATATCCTTTATAGTACTTGCCACAAATGCCACACAGATTCTCGCGTTCATCTCGCTGATTGTAATGTCTACTGTAAACAAAGCTGGCCACGCCCCCCTGACCCGCACTGCCCACTTGACACCCCAGTTTGGGCAGCGCAACTTGCGCTGCACTCACTTAACTCAAGTATCTGATTTCTTAGACAAACTTTGAGAACAAAGCTGACACTGAGCTAGCCCAAGCCCCCCTCCCGTTGTGGCCCGACCACGCCCCAACTGGAACCGCACGGCGTTGATTATCTTGTTTACACTGAAGTTGCAGTTGCAGTTGCCGTCGCTTGTGGCTTGCAATTTATTAAATCAAATTTACAAAAACAAAACAAAAACCAGTTGAGCAAAAGAAAAAAAGAGATAAAAAAAACAAACTGCAGTGCAAGCGCTTTGTTTATTATTTTTATTAGTTGATTAAATTATGAAGCAACAACAACAACAACAACAACGACAACAACAGCTGCAGTTAAAATATGCGTGCGACGCTGGCGTTCCAATGACCCGCATCGCAGCTGCCTCCTCCACCCTCTGTAATATACCCTGTAAATGTAATTGTAAGCAACAACAAAAATAAAAAACAAATTTCATTTATGCATTTGATTAGATTTTATTTTCAAATTGTTTTTGGCATTGATTCAAGTTCAACTTGACTCGAATGAAAGCGGAAATTAATATACACACATATATACACATAAATATATATATTGATCTTTTTCGTATATGCCAGCTTAGATAGTCAGATAGCTCAGCCAGCCGCTGAGCGTAAGCAGCAGTAGGTTCATCAGCGGCCTGGAGACGCCGTTGTAGTAGCCCCCAAAGATCTGCAGGCCGGCCGTCTCAATGCTGCGCTTGCAGTAGTCCCCGTCGTAGTTCCAGCCCACGTACTCGTTGGTGCGCAGCGATTCCTGACGCAGCCACTCCTCCAATGGGGCAAAGTACTCACGCAGAGCGCTGCCATCGAGCCGACCCTCGCCCAAGGTCTCCTCCAGCACCTCCTGCCAGGGCTGGGATGCGCCCTTGGCCATCAGTTGTCTATGGGAATCGAAGCGAAAGAGAGAAAGTGTGAGAGACAATGTATTATATAAATATATATATATTTCTATAATATAAGAAAAGTTCAACATTTTCATTTTCAAATTATCTACTACACAATACGGATTACAATTAAATTAAGTCAAATGTATATTTATTTATGTGAAGAACGATTTGTTGTCCCAATTAAGATACTATCTATTTAGAATAGTATTTAATAAACACATATAAAGATGTAAGCCAAGAATTCGATTTTAGATTGAAATAAAAAATTGTTTATTAACAATTAAATGATGGTTTCTTGGTTCCCACAATTATAATATTTTAAATGGTATTCAACTATTTATCAATAATTTATTTTTGACTTACTTTAACAGATTGCCTGCCGCTGGCTGCCGATAGATGTCGCACTTGTGCAGCGGCTTACGCGGATCGTTGGGCACATACTGGCCAGCGACAAGACACATTCTTCGATACAATTGGAACTGCAGCACCGTGGAGAAAAAGTATCTGCAAGATACAAAACAAGATATGAATTAGATACATACATACATATATGGCTAAAAACATGAGTTTTAGAATGGCAACGGTCACGCTTATTGACCGCATGCGAGTATATTGTACAAATTGTCAATTGTTCTGCGATGGGTGAGAGTTGAGCACATAAACCGAGCGACTCGCTGTGGTGCGCTTACATCGTGCCTCAAGGTCGCACCACAATTGCAATTAAACCAGAGCAAATTGCAAACGATTTTGCATTTTGCAATTGCAATGCAAAAGTCTGCTCAGCTCTCATTTAATCGCAATGCATTTGATTACCCTAACATGGGGCATAGCCACTATTCGGTGGGTTCGAATCTCGGAATGTATATTCAAAATATGACTTGTGATAAGAAATTCTTTAAAAATCGAATTGTATCCTTAAACCTACATCTCTTATCATTTGAATATTTACTATAAATCTGAAAAGCAATAGCATAAATAACACAATGTAAACGAAATAGCACAAAATAAATAATCCAATGAATTAGCAACAAGTTAATGTTCAACAACCTTTTGAACTCGCATTAACAGTAAGGTTCATTCGGTCAAAAATGATTCCTTTAGCCAGCATATATTCCTCATTTTACCAATTCAAAAGATTCAATGTTCAACAAAAACCTTTGAAAAAAAAAGCAATTTGCTCTGATAAATTCTATCAATGGGCCAAAGGACGTCGCAATAGTCCCTGTAGTTTTCGAAATATTGCGTCACCTGTGCAAAAATGTGTGTCATCCGAAGATCTTTAAATGTAGATCGATACAGTTGGTCCTTTCGATTCAAATGCACCAGTTTTTTGAAAAGGACGAAAGTCCTTTAAGCAACTATGATATAAGGATACTCATTTTGTATATTATAATTGCCGTAGCTCAAATGTATCCTTGTGAGTGTCCACACCCTCCCATTTAAGAACTTACAAGCCAAAGGATGAAAGTCCTCCAGACAAAAAAGTATTAAGGGCAAATTTATAAACAGAAAATAGCATCTTGCTTGGCAACATCATGCCGTAGTCCTGTATAAAAAACAAGTAAGAGGTTCTAGTCGGGAGCTCCCGACTAGAGGATACACTGAACCCTCTCCTTCCAACATCAAAAGCATATATATATTCTATTTAAGAAGCTACATGTCAAATTTGGTGACTCTATTATTT